TACAGTATCCTACAGGCACCAATTCCTTGATGTAAAATCTTGTTTTGTTTTTAGGCATATATGTATACCTTAAATAATTTTTTATGTGCATGTATGAAATAACCAAAAAAAAAACTACATACAACTTGACTTTAAAAGTTTTGTGAAAAGGAAATCTTGATCATAGCTTCTGTTTATCATGGACCAATTTTCAGGCAATTAACATTATATGACTGTATAAAATAATTGGTCTGCTGAATGTTAAGGAAAAATTATATAATCCATCATTCATGTCAAAAAGATAATGATATAATTGTATTATATACTGTATAAATGTCTCTGAGTAAGTTACATGTATACCCTTACTGTTAGATTCTTTAAATCCTTAATGATGCATGAATATCATGAACTTGGTATGTTGAATATATATGATATTTTTTTTTAGATTACATGACTTTTGTATGATGGCACATATACAATGTTTAACTGTACACTTACATCAAGTAATTGGTGTCTTAGGTATATGTTCAACACTGTATTCTTTTAAGTTTTATGAAGTGAATTCACTGAATTGTGACACACACAAATTGTCTGTTCATGAAGAATTATGATGTTTAAAAGTACATGTACATGTATTGTAAGTTGATTTATATCATATGCACTGTGTCTTATGTCATTTAGGCACTACAGAACATTACTTGAGTGCATGAATATATTAATATGTACAGTTTATGTGAATATTAAGTTTTCTGAGAGCAAATGCAATAACAATGTCATTGTCAATATTCTTATCATAAGATCAAATCTATGTTAATACTTTATATTCATCCTCAGTTTTGTCGATATAAACATGATAAAGATTGTTGATACTTTAAACAGGCTTGGTGGTCAACAAATTTACCAATGGATGTACCTAAAAAAATGAAGTAAAAAGTCGCAAATGACAATATATTTAAAGCCATTTTCTATAATTTTATACAAACCTCCCAGAAGGTTTACTGGTCATGACCATCCAGCCTACTCGAGATTTGTTAAAAGTGACTTATTTATTTTTATAGCTGAATTAGAATTTAATACATGAGAATTTGAAACCACTATTTTCATGATTTAAGAATTTTTTTTTAAATACGAAATTTACATCATTCTTGTTGCAATTTGTACATGTATATATGGAGTATTGTGTCCTAAATTGTGTCCAAGTTTTTGACTTGATTATTTATCTATTTTACTATGTTAATGTCTTGTTTACGTTCAATGTATTTTTGTATTTCAAACATTCAGAAATTGCATTTAACATTTACTTGCTAAAGTTATCTGTATAAAATAGGACAGTAACCTGCATAATCAGAGAGAAACTGATGACTCATTCTCAGAGAAATTGCTAAATTCATTTAACTCTATGATTATTGAATTTTTTCCTTTGATATTCTCCACTGACCAGCATTGATATTTGATAGGTGACCACCATTATAACAATCTAATGAGAATCAACTATATATGATACACTTAACTCAGGTAAGTATGAAAAGAGGGGGTCAATGGACAGCCCGTAAAGGGAGGTAAACCTACCTCTTTATACATTTCAATTTTAACCCCAAAATAGAGGGGGAATAAAGGTGGATCACTACAATTTCTCATGACTGGTCTTTAAAATCACAATTTAGCCTATTGCAAAAACATCGTATTTCATTGTGGAATATTACCATCTTGAGTTTTAATAATCTGATTCATGCAGGTACTTGAAAGTTAGGTATATATATTAAAAACAATGGTTGATATTTACAGTCAGAGTCTGTTGACCATCATATATATATCCATTCACTTTGTAATCTTTCCAGTTTCGTTTTCGTTATATATATAGGAAAGATTTACTATTAAGTGAACTTTAATAATACATTTAGAGGGTATTTTTGTATGTTTCAAATAATTACTTTGACATATTAAAATTTCTTCAAACAAATGTTCCAATTATTAAGCATCTACTATTATACATGTAATGTTATTGTCAGGAAGTTTTGCATTTCTGTCATAAAATTGTTATAATCTTGCGTATTCATACTGTGTGCAAGTATGTCTGAGAAATTCATTTAAAATTGAATTCAAAATTAATCTTCATGTACATACTTTAAAATTTCAAATGATGGTGTAATAAAATTATAGCTTATTGTTATTAGCGCTTCTTAAATTTATTCTAGCATCGACCAATTTTCGATAAATTTTCATAATATATGTTGAATTTTGTAAAGAAGTAAAGAAATAAAAGAAAAATCTTATTCATATCTTTTTAATTTTATATTATACATCATTATCTTACTTCCCCCCCCCCCCCCCCCCCCCCCCCCTCCCAAAGGAAAGATAGAAATGTTTTTGTGCAATGGTAGCTTCTTAGTCTTCAGAGTTGACGATACAAGTGATATATTGTATAGAAATACCAAGATTGACCTTGTTATGAGTAAATTGATACTGAGATAGGCATTAAACATCGGTTGAAAAGAAATTATGCCATTCTTAGTAATTTGATACTCAAATCAAGCCCATTTATCATGATTACAGTATAATAAAATAGAGGAAGTTCTTGCTCTAACATGTATATGTGCAATTCTTGTAAGTACATGTAAAGGTTGTTCACTCAGGTGAGCGATGTGGCCCCTGGGCCTCTTGTATTATTTGTAACCATTTTAACAATTTGGTGTTTTGATGTGACATTTTCAGCAAATGAGTACACAGTCTGTGTCGCCAGCTGGAAGGGTGTCTCACCCACCCCCCGAGTACAGGGGGTTATTGTACATGCCATCACACTGTACAGGGATGGCATGTGGGGAGCCACTTCCCCTTAGAGTGTTGACATCCACCAGCTGGAGACACCAGTTACTCATGTCAGCTTCATTTAGGGTCTCTATTATGGGCATAATTTTATTTGATGTTTTTTGTAGGGACCTATGAGAAGGAGGGGGAGTGTTAGTAGAAAGAAGAATTTTCCTCATCCCGTCATTGCCTATGGGGGTTTGACTTAGGCCCACCTGAAGCCCGTGATTAACAGTTGCAGCTTTTCTACCTCGGGATTTGGACTCTACCTCCTCATACAGATTGTACCGCAGTAGAGGCCCAATCTGCTTCCCAGGCCTCGCCTCTCTTCGGTAGCCAGGTCCCGGTCCATCACAGCCTGGTTTCTCATGCCGGTGGACTCGCATGACCTCATTCCACATCTCGGCTGTTTTTCTTAGATGTAGGAGTCTATGGGAATTTTGGTTAGCCAGCCTAGGTAAATATTCAATGTTTCATTTACTTTAAACAGTTGGCATTGTGCAGAGCATGTGAATAGATTTTAGAGTTACTTCCCTTAGACTATCTAACAAGACATAGAGAAATTTAACATTGTGTAACTTTTTTTCTCTTGCAATTATTACTTTTAAATTTTTGTGAAATACTGATAAGGCTTTTAACTGCATGTATCAAATTAAACCCTTCATGTATTTACATGTATTTACATGTAATTATGTGTAATCTGTACCCTACCCTTATTTAGACTTTTTTTTAGTATTTAGGTAATATTTAGATATAAAATGCTTAATTTTAAAGAATATTTTGAGAAAAAGTGATAATTGTGATTAATTTTTTTGAAATTTGACTTACTGTTCTGATTCGTTCTCATTTAGGCCCTCCTGAACACTTTCATTGTTTGGCTTCCTTGGCCTGAGGAGGTGGTGGCACTTGGGTCGCACCATCATTTCCTGCCTTTCAGCAGCTGAGGGAGTCACCGTCACCATCTGATGCATGTCCTCAGACAGTCTCCTGTACGGTGCAGGTAAATTTTCCTTTTGCTTACTTTCCACCCCCTTATTGTGATTTGTGAGGCACATTTTGGGGTTTGAAACCACACTTGTTACCTTTTTGGAATTTTGGCATTTCTTGAAGGTAGGATTCTTCTCATATTTCTAATATTTAAAAATTAATGAAATTTTCACAGAATCAAGAAGACAATATCAGTAAGTGATAGAATCAGTGAAATAAAATTTGACCATTTTATATTATCATCTTCTTCTCAAGAACCACCTGGCCAATTTCAACCAAACTTGCCACAAAGTATCCTTGGGTAAAGGGGATTCAAGTTTGTTCAAATGAAGGGCCACACCCTTTTCCAAGCAGAGATAATTATGAATTAGAGAAAAATTAAAGGCATTTAAAAAAAAATCTTCTCAAGAACCACTAGGCCAGGAAAGATGAAACTCATGTGGAATCATCCTCAGGTAGTGTAGATTCAAGTTTGTTCAAATCATGACCCCCGGGGCTAGGATGGGGACAAAATGGCCGATCAATGTTTTACATTGGAATATATAGGAAAAATCTTTAAAAATCTTCTTCTCAAGAACCACTGGGGCCAGGAAAGATGAAACTCATGTGAAATCATCCTCAGGTAGTGTAGATTTAGGTTTGTTCAAATCATGACCCCCGGGGCTAGGGTGGGGCCAAAATGGCTGACTTTTATGTATCATAATTGTGTACATATGAAAATTTTCGATTATACTGTATATTTTATATTGTCATGGATGTTTGTAAAAAATCTGAAACTTTTTTGATATGTAGATACATATGAGGACTATTCATATCACATAGGAAAGACGATTTGTTTACTTTTCTAGGATGGCAGTCTGGTACTTTAGTGAGTGGAACAGGAATTGTTATTGGTGTATCAGACAAAGGTAGATTCTCCACATATTTCCACGCTCTGATGGAGGTTAATCTGGCAGTGATGAGTTGCGATATGAGGATTACTTCAAACTTCCTCCCAGTCTCAGAGCTCAGTCCTCCTCCTCATCCTCAACTCTGGAGTCTGCATCCTCTTCTTCTCTACATCCCCTCAGCAGTCCCACATCTTCTGCCAAGAGGAAGAAACTCGAAGCAAAAAGACATAAAGAGAGAGGAGGAGCCGTGCCTAAGACATCCACCCCTGCTCAGCGTACAAGTTAGAGCGACTCCTCCATGTCTCTGAGCCCAGCGACTTCTTCGGATGTGACTCCGTCTTCTTCCTCTGCCTCAGCGGCCTCTGCTTCCCCCTCCACCACTGGGACTTCCTTGGCCACTGCCGGGAGTGATCCTGGAAAGGGGGATCCTAGTGGAACAAATGTCAAAATGGAGGATATACTGTGGTTACACAGAGCTGTCACTGTATCCAAAATCCTCAGGTAGCTATTTTAAAGCTTGTGTTAATAGTTTTGTTGATTTCAGGTTACAATTGAAGGAAAAGTATGCATTTTCAGAATTATGGATTCAATTCTCTCTTGAAGTTAAATCAAAAGTTGAAAAATATTTTCCTCTTCAGCAAACCTAAGTGAGTGTGTGTTTTTACAGGTGCTTGGGATTCAAGGAGAAGCATGGGAGTCGTCTCGTCAGTTCTGTGTGAGACTGCCCGGCGACCTGGTTGTGTCCAGCCTACAGACAGCTGCTGACTGTTCCATCTCGTCAGTTCTATGTGAGACTGCCCGGCGACCTGGTTGTGTCAGGCCTACAGACAGCTGCTGACCGTTCCGTCTAGTCAGTTCTGTGTGAGACTGGCCAGTGGAGGAGACCCGACCTACGCCTTCAATGTCCACCTAACGGGGGAGGAGGTCCATGGAACTAGTATGTCAACATCAAAAATATATGTAGTACTGTATGCAGGAAAATTTTCGCCACAGTTTTATTTTCGCCCCTTAAGCCCTTTCCTTGATTGGGTGAATTTAAAAGGGGTGAATTCAAAGAATATCATATAATTTCTTTAACAAAACTGACTGGGCGAATTTTGAACAGGGCAAAATTATTTGCAAGTGTGAAAGGGCGAATATAAAGCGGGGCAAAAATAACCCTGTATACAGTATTCTGACAGAAATTAAGACAACTGGTATTATTAGCAAAATGATGAAATATTTACTTGTAGTTGCAAATTGGATGGAAGAATTATATTTTAGACCCTGGTCATACATTATAGAACTCTATGATGAATTGATGATAGGAATTTGGACCTAGATTATGATATCTTGCAGATAAGAAAAGCTGCACTCACAATCCTTTAAAATTTATTTACATTCTAGTAAATATGTCTGGACATGCAAATTTATATGGCCATTGTTTTTTTTTTAAGGTGGCTCCTTCCGACAGTTTTTATGGCAAGCTGCCAAAGAAATCAGTGGCCCCCTGGTGCGTTCACTGATTCCCTGCAATAACTCGGACAACAAAGGTCGCTACATCTTCAGACCCGGCCCCATGTCCTACCTAGAGGAAAGACTTCTACAGTTCTTTGGTCAAGTAAGATTTGTTAAAATACTTCACATATTCATGGTCTTGTAAGAGCACAAGTTTTATTGAAAAAGGATGATTGTTTTGAAAAAATGGAAATTTTAACTTAGGGATAAAAGTGCTTGCATTCACATTGCTCTTTTGCACTAGGTATTGACAAAATATGTTTTGTTTTGAGATTGGATTTATGATCACCATAGTTTTCTAACATTGGTCATTTATGTGCAGTTGTTAGGTATCACAATGCGGGCAGATTCTAAAGAATTTAAATCTTGTTAGGGGAGGGGTAGGGGCCACGATAGGTATAGCAAGAGGGGAAATCTGGTAAAGAACTGCATCACCCAAGTTACTCAGGTAAGCGATGTGGCCCATGGGCCTTTAGTTTGGAGCAGTTTTCTTAAGTACTTCTATGTCCTATATTGATTAAACCTGCATGGAAGATGTTTCTAGTGTGTTTCATTGTACCAGTCAAACTTTCAGATGCTGCAATGACCAGGTTAATGTTTTTGGAGCAGCTAGGTTAACATTTTGATGCAGTTTTTAGCTCACCTGAGCCGAAGGCTCAAGATAGCTTTCCTGATCACATTTTGTCCGGCGTCCATCTGTCTGTCTGTAAACTTTTCACATTTTTGACTTCTTCTCAAGAATCGCTGGGCCAATTTCAACCAAACTTGCCACGAAGTATTCTTGGGTAAAGGGGATTCAAGTTTGTTCAAATGAAGGGCCACACCCTCATTCAAGGGGAGATAATTGGGAATTAATGAAAATTTGGTGGCATATTTTAAAAATCTTCTTCTCAAGAACCACTGTGCCAGGAAAGATGAAACTTATGGGGAAACATCCTCAGGTAGTGTAGATTTAAGTTTGTACAAATCATGAGCCCCGGGGGTAGGGTGGGGCCAAAATAGCAGACCAAAGTTTTACATAGAAATATATAGGAAAATTCTTTAGAAATCTTCTTCTCAAGAATGACAAAGCCATAACTCATTATATTTATATGGAAGCATGCTCAGGTAGTGTGATTTAAGTTTATTCATATCGTGACCCCCGTGGATAGGGCGGGGCAAAAATGGCAGACCTAAGTTTTACATAGAAATATATAGGAAAATTCTTTAAAAATCTTCTTCTCAAGAATGAAAAAGCCATAACTCATCATATATATATGGAAGCATGCTTAGGTAGTGTAGATTCACGTTTATTCATATCATGACCCCCGTTGGTAGGGCGGGGCAAAAATGGCAGACCTAAGTTTTACATAGAAATATATAGGAAAATTCTTTAAAAATCTTCTTCTCAAGAATGACAAGGCCATAATTCATCATATTTGTATGAAAGCATGCTCAGGTAGTGTAGATTCAAGTATGTTCAAATCATGACCCCCAGCGGTAGGGCGGGGCCAAATGGCCTACCAAAGTTTTACATGGAAATATATAGGAAAATTCTTTAAAAATCTTCTTCTCAAGAATGACAAAGCCATAATTCATCATATTTATATGGAAGCATGCTCAGGTAGTCTAGATTCAAGTTTGTTCAAATCATAGCCCCGGGGGGTAGGGGCAAAATAGCCAACCAAAGTTTTACAAAGAAGTGTATAGGAAAATTCTTTAAAAATCATTTTCTAAAGAATAGCAAATCCATGATTGATCATGGGACTTTTGGAATTAAACTTTACAATAATAAACCAATTTCTACTTTTTCCTAGCCTTAGTGCTCAGGTGAGTGATATGGCCCATGGGCCTTTTGTTGGTGTAGGTCTCATTTCTGAGTAACTATAAGCCCTATGTTGACCAAACTTGCATGGGTGGTACATCATAGAATGCACACTAGTCTACCAGGCTTGCTTCAGATGCTAAATTTGACCTACATTTTCCGCTTGAGTGAACAGGTTTATGTTTTTGGTGCAGGACTCATTTCCAAGTAACTATGGACACTATAGTGACCAAACTTGCATAGATGATGCATCTAGGGATGCATACTTACAGACTTGCTTCTGATGCTGAATCTGACCTACATTTTCCGTTTGAGTGAATAGGTTCAAGTTTTTGGTGCAGGTGTCATTTCCAAGTATCTTTTAGCCTCGTTCTGACCGAACTTGCATGGATGGTACATCTAAGGGTGCATTCTACCAGGTTGGCTTCAGATACTGAATCTGACCTACATTTTCTGGATTATTGATAAGCTTTTTATACAGGTTTCATTTCCATGTAACTTTGAGCTCTATGTTGAGCAAACTTGCATGGATGATACATCTTAGGATGCACACTAATGGACTTGCTTCAGATTCTGAATTCGACATACATTTTTCAGATCATCAACCTCTTAAAAGGTATGGGTTATGGGTGCAGGTCTATTACCAAGAAACTATTAGGCTTATATAAACCAAACTTGTACAAATGATGCGGTGAAATCTCTCAACCTTGTTCAGATGCTGGATTTTAATTACATTTTCATGAAGAAGAACTTGTTTGAAGTTTTTATATAGATCTATTCTAAAGTATCAAATCAAAATTGTATAAATTTTGCATTTTGGTTGTACACTTTTTGTTGGATAATTGTTTTGACTTTGCCTTACTTAAAGACAACATTCGTTAAGGACTGAGCTCTGTATAATCTCTGATTACCTATGTTTTTATATTTTCACTCGTGCTTTGCATATAAAAAAATCCTGCTCCACTCATGAAATAAATTCCATACTCAACTGCTACAAAACATTGAATATCCTTTTTAAATTTAGCAGAATTATCCCACTGAATTAAAGGGTACTTATTTTTAGGTGCACATGATGCAGCTTCCTGGATGGTGTATAGGCGTTTGTTAACATGTGAAACCCACGTGTATTTTGGGGTAGGTATATATGTACATGTATTTTGTCAATTATTAGCTCTTCTGAGCCACAGGCTCAAAGAGCTAATGCTATGGCCATTTGTGCTGTGTGTGTAAACATTTTAGAATATGGGCCATAACTCAAGAACCCCTTAACCAATCAGTCTCAAATTTGTCACAGGGTATCCTAGGCCCAAGGCCAGCTACCACTTATAGTAAAATAAGGGTTGGGACCCTTAAATAAGGGGAGATAATCAGGAAAAAAAAACCCAAAAGTATTAGTTGCTAAAAATCTTCTCTAGAACCTCCAGGCAGATTTTCACCAAACTTACATACATGGATCAGGATATGTCGAAGATTGAAAATTGCACAGGGAATTACACGGGGGCAAAGGGCGTGGTCTCAAGGTCACTTCAAAGTTGACCCAAATTTACAATTAATTAACGTTTATATTTTCCTTACTATAAGGACTAGGATCATCAAAACTTGTAAGTTGATGCAATTTAGGACTTCACATCATGTAAGAACAAAAGTAGGTCACTGTCACGATGACCTACTTTTTGAACTTTATGACTAATCCTTTTTGAAACATTTAATCCCATTATTTTAGACACTGAGAGGTTTAGAATCATCAAATCTTGTAAGTTGATGCATCTAAGGACCTTAAAAAATATGTATTATATAAAAAAAGTAAGTCACTGACGTACTTTTTAAATTTTGCGGGCATGTGTTTTTAAATTGAATTGAAGGCATATTTTGGACACTTTGTCAGTTGATGCATCTTGGGTCCTTGAACAACGTTAACTTAAAAGTAGGTCACCTTGACCTACTTTTTGAACTTTATGACTATAATCCTTTTTAAAACATTTAATCCCATTATTTTAGAAATCATCAAATCTTGTAAGTTGATGCATCTTGAGACCTTAAAACTAGTGTTGGCAATGAGTACCCGGCTAATCGGTTAACCGTCGAACGATGCGAGTATCGTTTAGCAAAACTGCTATTCGGTTACTCAGATGAAAACATATTTTTCATGGTAAAAACGTATAAAATAATTTTTAAGTTATATTTGTAAATGTATAATTTAACAAGATGCCGCCACAAACATCTAAAGCTTTGATTTTTATTGTTAATTAATGACTGACTCAAAATCTGTCAGATGCAAATCATTTTAAATAGAAGTTGTGGTGTTCGGGTGGAACTACAAATATTCTAAATCACCTTAGATTGAAACTCATTTTGAAAAATAAATAAATAAACCGGCTATCCATTTTCGCTCGACGATTCTTGGCCATTTCCGCTAGTTCATTACCATCAGAACACATTTTCTCTATGACAGAAAATGCTATCATAAAGTTGTAAAATCGTTTGTCTTCATGTGTTGATAAAATTATTTTCTCAAACATTAGCAGATATTACCTGTTATAAGTGACATTTAAAATCAAAATTCTTTGAAGATATTGTGTGTGTGTTTTTTTTTTAATTTGTATTCATTTAATGTTCATATACGTAACATTTGTGGTTTATTGCTACCAAAAAGTAAAAGGATGAGATTAATAATAAATATGGACACTATAGAAAAAACCATCCGAATAACCGGGTACTCGGTCGTAAGTTTAGACGAGTAACCGGTTACTAAAAATCGTCTGATTTTCCAACACTACTTAAAACATATATAGGAAAAAGTAGGTCACTGTGACCTACTTTTTGAATTTTGCAGGCATTTGTTTTCAAATTGTTTAAAAGGTATATTTTGATTACCTTCAGACCTATGATCATCAAACTTAGTCAGTAGATTCATCTCGGGACTTCAAAAAAGTTTATCAAGATGTAGGTCACGATGACCTACTTTTGACATTTCATGGCTATATTTAAGTATCATAGGTATTTATTGACTTAGAATCAACATACTTTGTGAATTGATGCATCTTGGGATTTCGGAGAGTGACGACCAAACAGTAGGTCACAGTGGTCTACTTCTTACAATTTATAGCTTTATTTAAGGATCTCCGGTACTTAATGGCTAAGAATCATCAAACTTTGTCAGTTGATGCATCTTGGGTTTTGTAGAATGAGGTCCAAAAAGTAGGTCACAGTGACCTACTTTTGACATTTTATGGCTTTATTTAAGTATCTCTGGTATTTATTGGTTAAGAATCATCAAACTTTGTTTGTTGATGCTTTTTGGGTTTTCAGAGAATGTCGACCAAAAAGTAGGTCATGGTGACCTACTTTTGAGTATCTCAGATACTAATTGGCTTAGAATTATCAAACTTCGTCAGTTGATGTATCTTGGGTTTTCGAAAATCATAAAAATTAGGTCACAGTGACCTACTTTTGACATTTTATGGCTATACTCTAAAAGCACAAATATTCGTGGAGTATTAAATTCCATTTATTTCATTGTTAACAAAATTCAACGAAATTAAATCCCACATGAAATTTTATATGACTATATAATTATTGAATAGGGTTACTTTTAAAACAACAAAATTAAATGCCCACTAAACTATTTTTATGACAATTTAAAACAACAAAATTTTATGCCCACGAAAATTTGTGCTTCTACAGTATTTAAGTATTTCGTGAGTACTGATTGGCTTACATTCATCAAACTTTGTCAGTTGATGCATATTGGGTTTTTGGAGAATGTAGACAAAAATGTCGGTCACAGTGACCTACTTTTAAATACTAGTATATCAAATACTTATTGTATAGAATCTTCAATCTTTGTCTATTAATGCATCTTGAGTTATCAGAAAACTTCAATCTTAAAGTAGGTTAATGTGGCCTACTTATGTTTTCTTGGCATAGCTTTATTAAAATATCTTCAGTCCTAATTGGCTCAGAATCATCAAACTTTGTCAAATGATGTAAGTTGGGTCTTAGGATACATAGGGTTAGAGGCTTCAAATAGAAATGATAGATTGTACAATTTATCAGAAGAGCCATTCAGGCCCTTGGGCCTCTTGTTTTTCTTAAAAGCTGCTTAAGAAGTATTTTTTCTTGGGCGCACTCAATTGGAACCCTTCCTTTTCCTGAATAAGTATTCTTTCCGCTTGATTGGTTTGAAAGGGTAGATTGAGAAGGCCTTCTGAGCCTTCCGCACCAAAGAGGGAAGGATAGCATTCTAATATGGTGTCAAGGGGATGGGTGAAAACTTTGGGGACTTTTATTATTGTAAATAAACCAAATGAATAAACTAAAACAAAATTCAATTGCAAGAAAGCATTTTTTATAATGCATTAGTGTTAATTCTGTTAAGAAGCATTTTTCCTGTTATGTAATTACAGAAAAATCAACCATCCAACACAGTTTCATTTACCATGTAATATGAGGTGAAGATGTGACCTGTATGTAGGTCCCTGAATATTCTCTCAACTTTTAAAAAAAATTATACATGTAGTTTAATATTCTTCTGTCTCAGGCACTTAATGTTTTTAATTATTGAACCTTTTTTTACATAAATGAAAAATTTCCAATACTTTTATATTTAATATATCATGTATATTTTTACCACTCTTAGTTATTTCTTCAAATTTCCCTTTCAAACTAGCATTTAATGCTTTAAATTAAAATATTAAAATCAGTCTCTAAAAAACAACAACTGCAGTTTTTCAAAAAAATTGCAGATGATATTCCAACATTTTCAATACCCTTCTGAATACTTGATTTAGACATACAAATTCCAACCCTTCCAACATTCCCCTCTGCTTCTAGAAGGCCCCCAATCAAGTACGCCCCGGGTCTAGATTTTTTTAAAGAATTAATCTTTATTTTCTTTTTCATATATGATGGTATATTACTGTATATACTCGCCTATAAGTCGGATTGTTGGGAGTAAATATCTGGTCCAAAACTTTAAGTCCGACTTAAAGGCGAGCTATCAAATGAATGGTATTATATGAGGTCAGTCCCTCTGATATATAAGCTTACTAAATACAACCGACTTATAGGCGGACCGACTTATAGGTGAGTATATACGGTAAGTAGAATTTTTTGTAAATTAATTTTGGCATTATTAGCAAGGATGCTGAGGTCACTAAAATTGAATATCGCTAAAAATTAGTTGCATATAGACCTTAATACTTGTATTTATAATAAATAATATAGTAAAAAAAATTTAGTAATTGAATTTCTTCAGTCTAAAAATTGGCAAAATGAGAATGTTTCTATCAATATCATCATAAATAAGGTACCAGAAATGCTTTGTTCTTTAAATATATCATGGTATATAATGTATTCATTGTATTTCTGTAGTGTTGGACAACTGGAGCCTTGCCTTGTATTTTTCTCAAACTGGAGCTGTTGGGATTGATTCCTGACACATTTTCCCTAAAGGTGTCTTTCCAAGAATTCTGATGGAGCCTGGAGCAGAGTTTGGAGATATTTTAGCTTTCCGTGTTCTTCCAAGGATTGTCTATTGGTCTTGAGATAGACTCGGGAGATATTTTCACTTTTCATGTGAGATAGACTCAGGAGAAATTTTCGCTTTCCATGTGAAATAGACTCAGGAGAAATTTTCGCTTTCCATGTGAGATAGACTCGGGAGATATTTTAACTTTCCGTGTTCTTCCAAGGATTACCATTTAGCCTAGAGCAGAGCATTTTATCCACCACAATACTCTTTGACGGAACCTTAGACTTGAATATTGCAGATATTGGATTTCAGAATTTTTTCAATTGATATTGTATACTTTACAGTTTCTATTATATATCTGGGTTATAAGGGCTATGGCAATATCCTAGTATTGTATACTTTACAGTTAATATATCTGGGTTATAATTATATATCTGGGTTATTAGGGCGATGGCAATATCATAGTATTGTATACTTTACAGTTTTTTTTAACTATCTGGGATTATTGGGGCAATGGGAATATCATACTATTGTATACTTAATAGTTTATATGATATATATATTAATTATCTGGCCTTGGGTTATTTGTGTAAATTGTAATTTTGTGTTACTATAATACACATATGGCCACTGGGGTTATCCAGGGATTAAGGGAATTTATGCATAGAAAATTGTAAATTTTATAGTTTCTTTGATGCATTTGGTTATAGAAACTCTGTGTAGTAATATTAATGTTTACTCTATTGTTTCTATGGTATTTAGGGGATGGGTTGGGGTGGGGGTAATTGAGGATATGGGAATTACCGTATATATGATAAGCATAAGGTATTAACTTAATAGCTTTTGTTAATTGTGTTAGGGAGTTTCATTAATTATGGTAAACTTGTTAGTTTTTATCGTAGATCTGGGATTATTGGATGTATTTAGAATTTCATGTACTTTTGCATTCTTTATTAATTTCTATGATTTTTTTTAATGGGGTTGGGGTGAATGGGGTTAGGAAATTTCATTTTTAGGTTCTGTGATTTATTTGGGGTTGGCATCAGGACATATAGTATAATTGTGTACTTTATTTATGAACTTTGTCTTGGATCATAGAAATTTGCGTGGGTTTTCATGCAGTATTGTATATTGTATATTTCATAGTTTCAGAATAATAGAGTATTGTATACTTGTCTTTTTTTTTTATGAATTATGTTTTTTTTTAAATGTATGATTTCTTTTCAGATCATTTGACATTATTGGAGTAAATGCGTATAATTATTACATGTAGTACTATGTCATTAATTTATTTTAATCATCTAGAATTTTGGGATTTAGTGGTATTGATATGATACACATTACATGTATATAGGGCTTATCTCGGGAGGATTATTGAAATTTACCGTTAACATGGTTAAGCTCTCTACATATCACATTAAAGTATGGGATTTTGGCTGTAGCATCTAATACACCAAATACATGGCATTTCAATTATATGTCTGGGTTATAAAAAATCTTTAATATGTAGTATTACACACATAACATTTCTGTAATTTATCTGGGGTTAAAAGATAATTATTGCAGTATTAATATTGTACACATTTGTCAAATTGATCTAGGGCTATAATTATAAGGATGTGGTATTTTATTGGCCGTATTGCACACACAACATTTCTCGCACTATGGGGGCTATAGTAATAGTTTTGAACTGGGGATTGATTTGGTGTTGCAGGAATTTTTTTTAGTATTGCATGTCATATTGTCTATGAATGTGTGTATGGGGTTATGGGATTTATTCCATTTTCAATTCAATTTTGTAAGAACTTTATTCGGTAATAACCAATATTTGCCCCCCAAATCAAACTTTGATGGAGAAATATTTAATTAAGTTCTTAAACAGGGGAGTATATGCTGACTTCAAAGCATTGAATATTTTCAGAAGTAATGACGCCATATGTACGTAATGACGTCACAAACATTACGTAAATTTCAGTTTTTTATGAAGTTTACAGAAAAATGTACATATTTCGTCGATATTTTGAGTAAAAGTCTCTGAGCACAGGTCTGATCAAGCTCAATATTTTGATATAATGTGTAGAATGATAATATCAATGAAATATGTAAATTTTGTTCTGAACAAACTTGCGCTCTATAAATTTTAAAGCTAAAATTGTTGAAATTTTGTCCATTTTGTCAACTTTCTGAAAAAGATATAAAATCGGTCTAGTTTGTGATGTCATAAAAACAAAAATTGAGAACACACTGCTTTGACACTATTTTGTGTTAATTTATATTTCTCATACAATTTATTGAATTCAGCACATTGCAGGAAGTTTTCAAAATTTGACTTTTGTGGGTTAATGGGATATATGCAAATTATACCGCATATAGTTCTTTGTCTAATTTGTGTGTGTGGGGGGGGGGGGAAGCATAGAAATAGAAAAGTAATGTTGTGGATTAAAATTGATTAACATTGTATATTGTATGAAAAATGTCGCTTTGTTTTCATGTGGTTGATTTACATTTAAATGCATTTACACATTAATGAACTTGCAGTCATACATAATGATCAATGCTTGATCTTTTTTTAGTGAACACATAGTTCGGTAAAAGTAATAGTGATTAACCAACTTGTTTTAGGTGTGCATCATTGAAGAGAATTAAGTCTTGTTCAGAGATTAGATCTAGAACTGGTTTGTAAGTCAAGTTTGCAGAGATTCAGAGTATGCTCAGTCATTATGGGTTCTAAATTGTTAATGAAGCTTGGTAAATGATAATGTCTCTCCAGAACTAAACATCTCAATCATTTTACAATCCTTCTTGCCAATGGATACTTGTGCTTTTACACACCTATTTTGTGTGATAAAGCTTTATTTCAATAAGTACTTTAAGCTGTGTATTGAACCAATACTTGCACATATTGAGTGCCTACACAGATGAATGCTTTGCCTTAACCCCTTCACTTCCGTACCGGTCAAATTGACCGGTGGCGCGTTAAAACACGACTTCGCGAAAATAAGATCTCCGTATCTATTTAATGGTAGCATGAAGGTATATAAACTATATATCATCTTTTTGGAAATTTTCTCTACTTTTAAAATATCTAAAAAGATTATGTCTTGATTGCCGGTATTTAATCGATTTTACGTTGTAAAGACAAACGTGACTTTTTGAAAATGGCGTAATTTTCCAAAGCGATTGCCGATTTTCCAGACGATTGACAATTTTTTCCTGTTTAACTTTATGAAGAAAGCATGGTATATTCTTAAAGCATATTTTCTCTACTTTTAAAATATGTAAAAATTATTGTTATTACTTTAAGGCATGTTTTAAAAACAAGAATTTTCTTGCACTTATGTGTTTTTTCTCGGTTTTATTTGTAATGTTTAAACAAAGCTCAATTTTACGTTTATTTCTGTGTTGAAATAGGGAAAACAAAATAAAGCTGGTAAAAGTGGAGAAAATTTCCTTTCCAACAAGCCCTTACAGGCCTTCTTACGCTCAGTATTTTCTTAATTACGATAATTTGAATTTGTGACCTTCGCATAGTTTTTATGGAAAAATCGGTCAATATTTACCATGGAACGTCAAGGTCGATATTGTTGCGTCTTACTCGAAACAACAAATTCTTTTATAAGACTTTTTTGACCATTTAAATATATATTTTTTACTGAAATAAATGCATAATACAAAAATACATTTAAAAAAACAAATATTTACTATCGTTCTGCCTTTTGTGTGAAATGAAATGTCAATTTATTCATCCACATGTAATGATGAAAATTTCATGTAGTGATGTACAATGTTGAGAAAAATTGTAGATTCCCTAAACGTCGATCTTTACTAAAAAAAAAATCAGATTTTAATATAGTTGTATCTTGTTATATTGTATACTTAATTTGCAAATTAATTAGATCTATATTAGCACGAAATTTAACAAAACAAGAATTCGCATTTATTAATAAATACGACTCATCACTGTATGAGTTGATACGAATTGAAAGAACCACGTGTTTCCGCTATGGTAGCAGTAAACAAACAACATGATGGTGATCCGAAATCTGAACGTCAATTTTCATGATTATTTCACGACGAAGATCATCACATCAATGAATCGAATAATACGGACATCCTTTGGTATTAGCAGGTGAGAATACGTGTATATTGACTGAAAAGTTTAAGTTTAAAACGCAATTAGTTCACGTTCAAAAGAAAACTAAATGTAGACATGTACATGTACTAGATCTTCATATTTCAGTGTGCGTATTTCGTATTGTTCAGCCAATTTTGTGTTGCTTTTGAACTTTGATGCTTTTGACAAACACTCATAAGTTCAAAGTAAAATCAAAGTTGCCATTATATTAAATAGATAGTTGTTTTCAGTATGTGTGTACCAGTGTGTACATTTACCACTTTCACTTTAAATTTTTAGGGTGCTGGCAACATATGCAACAATACTTTCATCTGTGAAGACCCACTTGCTAAGCCCACCATGATCTACAAATGCCAATTAATATGTAAGGACACCACAATGAACAGGTAAATTTTTGTTTTGTTGTTAAAAAGTTCTGTATTTCTAAAATTTAAAAAAATAAAGTCAAATTTCATTTGTGTCATTCTCATGATAAATCATTCATATGAGTTTATAAACATTTGATTTATATTTTGAAAAATAAGTGTTTGAAACACATAATACTTATGATGCTTGATTATTCATACAAACACATTATTTAAACACGTAATATCTATTTGAATGAATGCCGAGATATGAAACAAGCTGTTTTTATAGACTGCTGTTGTATTTCCAATCTGCATAAAGTTTGTGGTTAGAATTTCCATTTTCTCATTTTTTCAGACACTTTCCAATTATCGTACATCATATATATGGGTGGTCAAACTCACTGGATGGTTTATCAACACTCCCATGCTCACGAACAGCCTTGCCCTAGGAATTTTGCCCTGAAGTAACATTGCAGTCTATTGTCTCCCTTCTTTTTACAACCCTGGCAGCCATGCAGGTGTGCAATCTATGAAAGCCATGAAGGGACATAGAATTTTTAAAAATTTATAAAAGTAAACCGAGTTCTCGATTTACACAATCCATTCTCTCGGATTGACAATCTGTTATAACAAATTGCCAATTCATATTCTCACAGATTATCTTCCCTCAAATTACACAATCTATTGTCTCAGATTGTATAATTCATTCTCTTAGTTTAATTGACACGTTCCCTCGGAATGTAAACCCTTCCCATGATTTCATTAAAATTATTTATCTGTACATATCGGATATGGTAATACATGTTTAAAGAATAGAATATTGTAGTATTTTACATCCAACCTTTTATTACATATTACCAAAATGAGAAAAATACATGAACA